TGCCACTTCGACGAGTTCCACAAGTTTGGAAGTTCATATATTGCTGCTTCGTATGTTAAGTTTTTAGAATCTGCTGGTGCCCGCGTTGTGCCAATAAGGTAGATTTTTATACTCTTACAAAAGGATGTTAATTGTTTAGCAGAAGGATGGTATCTTAGAGGCCCAGAAAGCAGCTGTGCTGATTTTCTGAGGGTTTTGAAGCTCTCGCAGGCTACTGGAGTGTGTCATGTTTAATATTTCTCTTTACTATCTTACCATATTTTTCAATATATTTAATAATTCTTTTCTATCTTGCAGACTGCATAGGGGAATTTTAGGGGAATAGGTTTCTTGCAGACTGCATAGGGGAATTTGGTTTCGAAGTTATTCATTAATAAGAAAGTTATCCATTAATATACATTAGTGAGCCTAATGTATATTGCTGCACAAATGTGCATACCCAGACAGACAATCTCTTGTCACAATTTTAAGTCCTAGAATTCAAGTATTGGAGAAGGACTATCAGTATCCCCTGAAGAACCCAGAATCCAGCTCTGAGCATACTGTGCTTGGGCCTTTAGCTCCATATTTGGTAATATTTTGGCAAATGGGTAAAATGTAGCAGAGTAAATAACAGAGCTAAGGACGCTTCATAGCCAACAGGTAGCTATAAAAGACTAAATGCACTATGTTAGAAATAAAAATGATACTAAAACTCCTGCAGAAAATTGCTTTAGGTCCAGTAAAGGCACCAGGTGAAGTGCCTGAATTTCAAGCTGTTTTTCCTCACGTAGCTGGTGGGGCTTTCAGATGCTTGCAGCTTCACTGATGAAACGGAGGTGTCTAATCCTGGCAGCTAAATCAGCTGGGGTGAAGCTGGGTGCTTGGAATACACCCAGCGTGTCAGCCCTGCGTGAGGTTGGCTGTCAGGGTCAGCGTTGTGTTTTGCTGATGCTGAGGCCTTCTCACCTTTCCACCCCTCAGTAGGTCTTTGCTGAAGGATGGGTGTGACGCCCTGTTTGCAGCTCTGCAGGAACCGGAGCTGCCAGTCTGCAGGAAATAATAGCCATACCACTCACATGTTCTGCTTAATGAGTAGCTGCAGAGGGGTCGTGGGGCACCTAATCCTGAGCTGTACCCGCCAGGGTCCTGTTTTCAGCCCTGCGCATCCTCAGGCTTCCTGAGCTGTTTCAAGTGAAACACTTCAGGTTTGCTGAGATGGTATATTTTGAAAGAAACCTCATTTGTGTAGCTAGGTATAAATTGGGAAATCCTGACTGACATTCACTCAGGTCAATAAAGTTTTCCCATGTAAAATTACTGTGAGAATGTGCCCACGCTTTCTGTGTTTAAAGTCTTGCCAGCAATAAGCTCTGCAGTGGAGTTGGAAAAAAAGCAGATCTGTTGGTGGTAATTGTTTAAACCCTTATTCATGTCCTTATTTATATTGGTTAATATTTCATTAGCTTTTTTCTTTCTTGAAATGAGTGGCCAAACCTCGCCCTCATTTCTCAAAGTGAGGGGTGTGACATGAGGAATTTCTGTAAGGCCTTTCCTTCCATCCATCTTTGGTCATTTCTGGAGGCCCTTTGTTTGGAACTAGATAAGCTTCTGCTTATAAAATAGTAGTTCTTTTATGGTAAAATGTATATTTCAGACCTGTTTTCTTGGTGTTTCAGATTAAATCGTTCAGATGAAGAGTATGCTAAACTATTCCAGTCTATCAATGGGTAAGTTTTGAGCATTGGCTTCCCACTGAAATGTCTTGTAGTTATGGTTTTGAGCTTTGCTGTGTTCTCAGGACCCCTCTCCTCCCTTTCAGGGGGGCTGTAAGGCAGAGATCACCACTTCATTCTGTGTCACTCCATCCCATTTCCTTCCTTTAAGAGCATGTCAGATAATCTGCAGCAGTTCCAAGACTCATCATGGTGTCTCTTACACTTGTCTGCAGAGGCAGCATTGTAGTGGGGGACAACTGGCTATACTTTGCAAGGGAAATAGCCTGTTACCTCTATGTTAATTTATTTTCTCTTCCTCATTTGAGCAATCAATCACCTTCGTTTTGGTATTCAGTAGCACTTGCTGGATGCATCACCACTCTTAGGGCTGCCCTGCACCTACCTTCCTTCCACAGTCTTTTCTGCCATTCTTCTCTTCTTTTATTCCCTCCATCGCAAAGGTTTCTGATTTCCAGGCTCTGCTCTTGCATCTGCCCTTGTTGTGTTCTCCCTCTCGTGCATCTTGCATGGCCTGTCTTACCCACTGAGATTCTGTGGCTTAGGCCTTTGTGAGACCCCAACTTGTTTGGTGATCTGCAGTGACAATCCACCTGCTACGTTCTTATTGCACCTATATGTTGTTTCTTCTGAGGTTGTTTTAAGTGTGAGAGGTTTTGATCTAATCTAACATGCTTTAACTGTGGACTAAGCAAAGCCAAAACCTTTTACACTTTTCTTGTGCTAAAACTAAAGAATTAAATCAGCTGACACTACCCTTCAGAGCCTTAGTTGTGTGTAGACATTTAGCATGTGATTAGGTTACTTTAGTCATGAGATGAGCATCTTAAACTGAAAAGGTTTTCATTTAGTGTATTTCTGTACATCTGTGTTAACCAGCATGAGTAAAACTTGCAGGTTC